TTATGGTGCAGTTGTCTACTTGATTTGTGTCGATGAAGATCACGGCTCGTCATCTCATCTACTAGCCAGCAAATCTCGTGTGGCTCCATTGAAAACTTTATCTATTCCAAGATTGGAACTTTGTGCATGTTTGTTATTGGCTCATCTGATTTCGAAAGTTAGCAACTCATTGAAGATGCATTTAGATGACATCATTCTGTGCACTGATTCAACGATAGCACTGTCATGGTTGAAGACTTCTCCTCATCTTTTGAAGACCTTTGTTGCAAATAGAGTCTCCAAAATCCAAAGACTAGTAGAGCCGCGACACTGGAAGCACGTATCATCAGCAAATAATCCGGCAGATCTGATTTCTCGTGGTGCTTATCCTCATGAACTTGTGACATCTTCCTTGTGGTGGAATGGTCCTGAACAGAACGAACTTAGTGATGCTTCTTTATTTGAACTTGACAAGACTCTCATAGATTCTCCTGCTTATCAGGATGAACTTAAAAAACCTTTAGACGTTAATTTGAACTGCAATTTAAACTTGTTTTGGAATACCTTTTTTGAATTAACAAATAATTATGTTAAACTAATTAGAATTTTAAGTCTTATTTTCAGGTTTCTGTCCAATCTGAAAGGTCCAGTGAAGAAAACAGGCCCCATTAGTAGCACTGAATTTCAAGATGCGGAAATGCACTTGATAAAAATGGTTCAGGTAATAGAATTTGCAGAGGAGATTAAATCACTTCAAGATCAGAGAGTAATCAAAAGTCAGGTAAAAACTTTAAATCCATTTTTAGATGGAAAAGATATATTACGTGTGGGCGGTTGCTTAACTCATGCCACAATTAATTATGATTCTAAACATCAAATTTTATTGCCAAAAAATCATAAGCTTACCAAGCTAATATTTATTCATTATCATTTGAAAATTTTCATGCTGGTCCTCAAGCATTATTACATTTTGTTAGGGAAAGGTTTTGGCCCATTGGTGGCAAGGACTTAGCTAGAAAAACAGTTCATGAATGCTTAATTTGTTTTCGTCATAAACCTATCATTTCAGATCAATTAATGGCCGATTTACCTCCTGAACGTGTAAATCCAAATCTAACCTTTCATAACACAGGGATAGATTTTGCAGGCCCTTTTCTAATCAAATATAGAAATCAAAGGAAAGGTAGTTTACATAAAGTTTATATAGCAATCTTTGTTTGCTTAGTTACAAAAGCGATTCATTTAGAAATAGTATTTGACTTAACATCTGAAGCCTTTATTGCATGTTTAAAACGATTTTTTCTCGCGTAGAGGTAAAAGCTCATGTCTGTTTAGTGACAATTCAACTAATTTTGTAGGAGCTCACAAATAGTTAAAGAAACTTGCTTCTTTAGTTACTGTCCCTGATGAAGTTTTGGGTAAGTATTTGGCATCTGAAAATATCTCTTGGAAATTTATTCCTCCTCGTGCCCCCAATTTTGGTGGAATTTGGGAGGCCGGAATCAAGTCTTTCAAATTTCATCTTAAAAGAACTATTTCCGATGCTAAATTAACCTATGAAGAATTTTTAACCGTAATTGATCAAATTGAAGGAATACTAAATTCGAGACCTCTTTCTCCTTTATCGTCTGAACCTTCAGATTACGAACCCTTGACGCCAGGTCACTTTTTAATAGGCAGACCCATAAACTCAATTGTAGAACCTCAAATTTTAGACTTGTCAGAAAGCAGATTGTCAAGATGGCAAAAATTAACTAAAATGGTACAGATTATATGGAAACGATGGATAACTGACTATCTTAATCACTTGCAACAACGAAAGAAATGGTATTTTTCAAAGGACAATATAAAGAAAAATACAATGGTTATTATTAAAGATGATCAGTTACCTCCATTTAAATGGTTAATAGAAAGAATTGATCAGACAATTCCTGGTAAAGATGGTAAGATAAGAGTAGCAGTCATTAACACAAAGTTTGGTCCAATTAAAAGGCCAATATAAAAAATTTTTTTATTGCCTATTGAGGATAACTTCAAGGATTAATTTCTATTGTTAATAAAATATACATTGTTTTTTTATTATACTTATCATTTGGTAATTTGATGAAAAATGTCAATATTTTTTACTGTTTGAAATGTTGATATACTTACCATAATTATTGAAAAAATTTGCCAAATGTTCAAACTTTATGGAATTTTCTGAATTGTTTATTTTATTCTGTAAATGATTTACTAATTTTAAGTCTTGTTAATGCTTAAAAAAATGAATAGCTGAATTGTTAGCATTTGATATTGAATTGTATACTTAGATTTAGTTTGCATATCATAGATATTGCAACGTGGGGTGGTATGTTGCCTCCTACGCGGCAATATAAGTTATGTACAGCGCATTGTTTCTGCGCAACTTCAAAATTATGTACAGCGCATTGTTTCTGCGCAATTTTTAGTTAGTTAAGATTCGAACTCATAGCGTAGCATACATGTTTTTTGATCCCGTATGGTCGGGAATTTATCATTTTCGATTTAGATTTTTAGTTATGATACAGTCCACGGAATAAAATTGTTGTTGCTGTAAAGTTGTCTTTAGTATACAGTCTAACCAGCGACCTGAAAACAACTATTTAGGGCAAGAACTTGAAGAAAGGTTTTTAATGATTTTGAATCTAATTTTACATTATTTTTCATTACCATTAAAAATGAGCAAGAAAAAAACCCCCAGAAAATCTTCAGATGGACTAATCAATTTATACTACGACATGAATCTTATTCAAAGATTTGAAGATACAGATCTGATTAATCTTTTTTTCATACTTTTCAAAAGATTACGGTTACCCTCAGTTACGGATTTTAGCAATAACAATAATTGCTTTGCTTGGGAATACAGTGATATGTGAACAGCATGGAGACAGGAAAGAGATGAGAGGCCCAAGTGGTTTTTCTCATGCACTCCTCTTGAAGCCGTGACACACCCCTCTTGTTTACCAAAACATTCAGTGACTTTCCATTAAGATCAATAGGTTTTTGACATGATCGGAGGTAAACATTTCGTAATTACGTCGTAAATATAAGTATAAATGTATACATTTTCTTTTTCTACAATATTTCAAATTACATTTCACTCTGAACGGAATCAAATGCTAATACCTTTTCCCATGCTCAGAACAGGTTTAATTAGAATTAAATATTTTCACAAGGTTTTGCTAATTACAATAGTAAGAAATTTTAAGGCAATTCAATTTTATTCGGTTAACGATTATAAAAAATAAAATCATAATTTATAGTATTATTAATATTAAAATCACGCACTAGCTTCTTTTCTAATTACAGATCTTCTTTTTGAAATACTTTCTCAAATATGAGAAGATTTCAGTTTCTGAGGCATCTTTTAAATCAAAAATCATAGTCACTCTATAATTAATGTTCTGTTCGGTTCACTTCAAATTAAAGCACGTCTTTTTTTAATAGTTAAATACTTTAAATATTGCTGCTGATTTCCATGTACTTAACTTTCTGTGAATATTTCTTGAAAGGGATAAAGAAATGGTGGGTTGTTTTAGAACTATGATATTACAAGTTACAAGTTATTTAAAACTTGTAACTGAATTGTGAGGAAATCATTCTTTTAATACTTATGAAAATTTTTTTAACCCTTGATTTCAACAATACACATTCTAAAAATTCTACTTTATTACTTCTTTAGGTAGGTACACATATCTTATAGACTATGCTTTGCAACATCTTTTTAGACTGTTCAGTACGATTCTTCTTAAATAGTTTGATACAATTCTAGTACGATAACAATTCTTCTTAAATAGTTTGATACAATTCCAGTACGATAACAATTCTTCTTAAGCGGTTTGATAAATGTATTCATCAACAGAATTTCAATTTATGTCTGCAATTCAATGATAAAGTTATTATGTATTCAGATAATTTTTATAATCATTTTAATTTAGGTATATTCAATAACTAGATTTTTTTCACAGTAACATTCACAGGAGTTTACGAATGAATTAATTAATTCTTTCCAAATACATTTATAAATAACTCGATAAATATTAACGTATTTAATTAAAGGCAAGTTTTTACGGTGTTCGCCGAAAACACCGCGGCAAAAACATCGCAGACGAAAACGTCGCGGGAGAAACCAACACAAGGCGAAAACGTCGTGGTACAAAACATCGTTTGCTTTCTTTTCTCCCACGATGTTTTGTTACCACGAGGTTTTCGCCTTCCGTTGTTTTCTCCGCGACGTTTTCGGCTATAACCGTATATAATATGGTGTGTGTGTATTTAATTATGGCAAAGCACACTAGGGCTATCTGCCTAAGGGGGGATGCCTTCGTGGAGGACTTTCTAAGGGAAACTGGCTCGTATACACGTTACACATGGGGAAAAACCACGAAAACACCCATGCAGCCAGCCCGTTCGCGGGATTCGAACCTCGGACCGAACTACCAGTGTTCAGCGACTTTACCGCTCGGCCGTTGGTGGGCCTTACAAGAATATGCATAAATACTCATAGATATTTAATATTTTTCCTTTTCGACATGTGAAAATGTTTATTTTCGGTGCATTCGTTATATTTTTCGGGTAAAGTAATTTACAGTAATTTAGCATACATTAGAATTTTTACATAAGAAATATGTATAAATATAAATTGAATGATAATTACATGCATTATTTATATGCTCACTCAAAAAGTCAGTTTCTTTCGAAAGTCCTACACTACGGCAATTGTCCCTTTAGATAGATAGCCCTTGCATGCTTTACCCTGTGTAAAAACTTAACCTGATCTATGTGCCGAATTAAAAATATTTTAACATGCGTAATTTTATATTTAGATTTAGCCATCAAGTTGCGAACTTTTAACTTAAAACAGGTTTTTGGATACATTCATTATCAAATTCAAATTTTCTAGTAAATATATTTTAACAAAGTATTAAACACCTCTGGTATGAATTTTATCCATTTTAATAATTTTCTGATAACATAATGAATAGCAAGTATCCATTTCACATTTAAACATAAACCTTGTTGTCATGAGATTGCAATTTGGATTGCTTTACTAATCCGTATATCAAACACTGCTTCATTTTTGAATTAGTTAAAGCAACTAATTGATCTAAATTCACACACATCTGAAATTGACACATTACATGGAAATCTAACTTCCAATTCTTTTTAAATGGCGAGCGATAGCATTTTAGGCTTTTGGCGCTCGCATTTCAGGCTTTTGCCGCTAGGCGGCCACCGTTACCTCCTATGAAGGAACAGACAATTTACATCCACGCTTTCTCCGGGGTTTGAACCCAGGACCTTTGGTAAGGCAGTCATTGTCACTATGCCCTTTCCCGTCCATGCGGTGGAAATCCAAAAAGTAACAATATGCAAAATGTATTGAAATACCAATTAATATCATTGATGATGCTTTTTTGATGTCTTGAAACTGTTTTAAAATTAGAAGATCACTACTCAATCTCTTCTCCTGTTATGAGGGATTAGATTAAGAAATACAAATTAGCTACGTTTCGATCAACATTATATGTACTGAAGAACAAAAATGTTTTATTCGTCATATTTAGAATCTAAAATAAAAGTAGCAATTACACTATCCAAGCTGTCGAAAAAAGTATCCAAATTTTCAGCTCATACCAGTCAGTTATAAACAAATTGTGATTTAAAGTGTGTAATATTTCTGCGATATTTTGACATTTTAAAGGTACTTTTAAGATATTTATCATTCTTTACATATAGCATAAATATTTTGTTAAAATCTATATTTTTGTAGTCCAGTAGCTTAGAATTTTATAAAACAAATTCATAATCAAATTCGCTGTTGCATGTTATCGGAAGATACCCAAGATGTAATATGTGCAGAAATATAAAATTACATGCAAATTGCTAATACACATTCAACAATGAATGTTTCTTTTGAGCGGAAGTGTCTCTGATTCCCGATTTGTGCGGAAATGTCTTGTGTAGTAGTACAGTAGAGTCCCGCAAACTTGACATAATATCGACTGAGAGACTGTCGAGTTTCCGAAAAGTCGAGTTTTACGTCGAGTAATTTGCAATAGTCTTTTAATATTTCATTTTAATTTGGCTATTTTATCCTTTTCTACGAATAATAATTGTTCATAATAAACATCTCTAAACTTCGCCATTTTAAAATGGATACCCGCAATCATATGACTTTAACACAATGCCAACGAAGTAAATGATTTTACGAACTGTAACACAAAGAGCCAATAATAAGTTTACATAATTATTTATTAGCTAATCAAAATCGAAACCAAATAATTCTGAATTAAGATTTTGTCTCGAACACATCATACTTTTTCAGAAGTCAAACAACAAAAATCAGCGTTATATTTACAAAACGCTGATTTTTGTTGTTTGACTTCTGAATTAGTATTTATTCGGCGTGTTATTGTGCCTTCATTACATCATACTTTGCTTCTGCTTGTCCTACTAACATGATCTACTAACGCTTGCTCTCTTTAAAATTATACTTATAACGGTGTCGATTATAAGTGCCGAAAGCAAACGCTGTGGTGCCCAATTATTTATTTATTTTCGCTTAGTAGAAAAGTCTGTCAGCGAGAAATATAAAGCAATATTAAGTCCAACTTTAATTGCTTATATGCATGCTTCAATATATGTCTTCAGTACATTCTAATTTATTACATATATAGTAATAATTGCATATATAATAATAAATAACGAAATAAAGTGAAAGCAAACCCCAAAAAGTATGAAATGCATCTCCTTATTATACACAATACCTAGGAAAAGTGTATAACAATTTGTGTAACATATTGGCTGTTGTAATGAGTGTGACAGAGGATAGTTCCTACCGACTTGTTAACTTCTGAAAAAATTTTAAAACAACTACTCGTATATATGAGGTCACAGTCCATTTTATGTTTTAAGAACTTGCTTGACCGAGAAATTTTTCTCTGGTCAGTTTCAACTACTCATTCCAATGGAAGTGGCCGAGGATTTGTCAAATGTATGTGTAAAACTGTGTTGAAATATGAAATGGCGTTGTATGAAAAAAGTAATGAAGTGAATCCAAAATGTCATTCAACCCTACCATGTTGCAACAAATAGGTTAGTTTCAATTTCTTAGTTTTTATATGAAAATTTTGTTTTCCTTAGGAACAAAGGCATACATTTTTTTCTTACAACTTTCATTCTTCTTTATATATTCTGAATAAAAATTTTTCAAGGGCATTCTTTGATTATTTCTTCGAAATAACATTTGCATTTTTGTGGAATGAAGGTTTTTTAAATAATAGCCTTATCATGAACTTTTTTCATACCTTCCTTAAAGGGTATTTGTCATTCTAATACAATGGCTAGGTATTATATACAATGCCTATGTAAAGTGTATAATAATTCTCATATTTCATACTTAGCCTAAAAACAGCAGGCCTTCTATAAAATGTCTAGATATTCCATAGAATGCCGGCGTTTCATACTTTGCGGCATATATGTGTGTATCACGTCAACTGAACTGTCTATACACGTTAAAATTTACTTACAACAAGTTATCATTCGGATATTGTTATCTAATTGCCGAAGTTCTGCTCATTTGTATGTGAATACATGGGAAACACATCTCTTATTGTGATCAACAATTCGGTTAATATTATCAAAGTATTTATAGAGTGGACTTTTTGAACTGAAGTAAAATCGCCACATAAGATCAAAATGGTTACAGCCGAAAACATCGCGGACGAAAACAATGCAAAGCGAAAACGTCGCGGTGCAAAACTTCGTGGGAGAAAAGAAAGCAAAGAGAAAACATCACAGTTCTAAAACATTGTGGTACAAAATATCGTTGTCGAAAATAAAGCAGTTCAAAAACTTCGCAGTTTAAAAATAACGTGGTAAAAAATAAAGCAACTACAAATCACCGCATGATGATAACATCGCATATATGCTTTTTCATGTTTTAAAAGTTGTAAATACATATTAGCATATAGATTTGGAAGTGCAAGAAATGTTAACAATAAGAATAAACGGAAACAAAACGAGATATAATTTTCACCAAAACATTATCAGATTTACAAACGTGAAAGAAAATAATTTGATAATTTAACTAAGGAATTTTTATAGAGGTATTTATCTTCTTTTTCCTAAACATTTTAGGCTGTATTTTTCATGAAAAATTATGAGTAAAACTTTATAAAAATATTAATTTATTAATGACCTTTGTTAATTAACTATAATAAATTTAAAATTCTATTAAGTGCTATAAGTTGCATTAATTTTCTACTCATTTTCAATTTTTAAATGCTTGCTTTCAATTTTTAAGTTTCCTTTATACATTTTTAGCAAAAATTTATTAGTTCATTCAGAAATATGAAACGTAAAAGTAAAAATATTTCTTTTTTTCTTCTTCCGCTCCCAAGTAAGTATGCAAAAATGCATTTACAGCTTTTTACACCTGAAAAATGCATGTCTGCGATGTTATACACCTAGTTATTTTAATAATAATATATAGTAGAAGCTTGGTTACTTTAATACCTATCGTCATGCGAAGATTTGTAGGCACTTTATTTTTTATTACGATATTTTCGACGACAATGTTTTTAATCTGCGAAGTTTTCGAACCGGTTTATTTTCGATGACGATATTTTGTACCACAATATTTTAGAACTGCGATGTTTTCTCTATGCTTTCTTTTCTCCTACGATGTTTTATATCACATTTTTGCTTTGCGTTGTTTTCTTCGCGCCGTTTTCATTCGCGACGGTTTCAGCGGACACCGATTAAAATAAATTATTATAAAACTTGCCAAGTGTCAGAGAAATATCGCCAAGTAAGGAATTAAATCGCCAAACAGCTTGTTTTCGAGGTACTTACTTATTAGCACAAATACCTTGGCGCAACTGATTTTTCATTCGTTAAAGTTATTTATCAGGTGCAAGTTGGCGATCTTCATGAATTTCTTAAAAACATTTCCCAAACTATCGATATTTATTGTAAGTCGGCAAACAATATCAACATAACAAAAGAAAAACACTATAAAATTAAAAGTATAAAATTTAAATTTTTAAATAAGAATTGCATGATACATTAAAAAATAAAACATATTTTTCTCAATATCCTTCTCTAATTTTTTAGCTCTGTTCTTCTGTTTTATGTACACATAGCAGTCGGTTTTCACTTTCAAAAGATCAGAGAATTGTAGGAACTTCACATTGCTCAACGGCTATCTACCAGATGCATCTCATCATTATTCCCTTTAACGATTTTGCATAAAAATACTGTATTCTTTCAGAACTTTTACTACAGTTACTTCCGTTACTAGCAAATTGAACAAGTCATATTTTAAAACTGTATTGAAGGAAGAAAATAACAAGATTTGGGTATAAAAACCGTTGGAACTTGGAATACAACAGCAACAACAAAAACAAAGTGCACACGTAAAATGCCGATGTTGCTTAATTAAAGAACTTTTATGAGCATGGTTGCTTGAAGAAAATTTATGCTCTTGGTTGCCAGAGTTTGGCTCCTTCTGAAAATTTGGCGAACTCTATCAAAGTGGTTGCTATAATATATGAGAAACTATTTCGACTTTAAACGTTTGTGAAAGATTAGGCTGAAAAGTAACCTTAGTTTGACCTAGATTTCAAATAACTCGAATTTGATAGCGATCGGGCGCAAGTTCCTCTTCTTTAAGAGAAAAAAAAAAAAGGGGGGGGGGGCAGAATATTTTCTCCCTGAAAACATGCATGCCAAACTAAGGTTGCTTTTTTTCGCTTAGTTTAAAATTTTACATTGGCATGTTCTCTTTCAATGAGGGAGCCCTCTAAGCATTAAAGTAGAGCATCGGTTAAGTAATAACCAAAAACGTTTTGAAAAGTTCCTAAATGAATTTTTGAATTAAATAATTATATACAGTTCACAGTTTCATTTTTCTAATTAAAATGCTGTGAAAGTACGTATTTACATGTTTCTAGTCATATTTATATTTAATTAATTAAATTAAATTGCTATTTTGAAGGATATATTTCTTCATCGTTTAATGTTATCAAAATGGCCGTGAACCAAACGTGATCATTTTAAGCGGCGCATACTCTTTATATGTATATATGGTGTGTGTTTGTGTACGCATGTGTGTAAG